GTGGGTGAGAGAAAGGGGATATTATTGGGATGGAATTTAGAAAGGTGTGAACTACTTTTATGTTACAAGTCATTAAAGATACTTTCTACAACAGAGTTATAACAGGTCATAATTTATGTGCGTAAGATTTTGCCGAAAAGAACCCTTTGGTTAATCATTGAGAAATTGGAACTTGTCAAAAATATTCATTGAGATTAGAGATGTGATGCTCAACTACATTGTTGAGTTCATTTAGGATGTAAATGCATGTGTTTCTATCTATCTAAACATGTCAGAATATAGTGGTGGTTGCTCGTTGATGATTTTTTCATACAGTAAATATCATATCATTAATTATGGAAATCTCTTGTATACCAGAAAGTTAAGGTAGAGAAATACACGGATATTCCCCATATGTACAATATTGTTCTTTTGCACTATCAAATGCTTTTCTATTCCTCTCTTTGCAAGAAGACCCACATAAGAAGTAGTGGGGAACAATTATATGCTCCTGGTTACTTGATAAAAATTATAAATGAATAATGTTCTTGGTCTTCTCTTCCTCCTTCCATAAGCCCAACTGTGTAGTTCTTCCCTTCACTATACCTGACAATCTGACATCATCTCTTCCCTTAGACCTGACAATCTGAAATCATCCACTAAAATCAAACTAACTAAATATCATCTACCAAAACCATGTTACCACCTTGCGATGTAATAGAAAGTGGTCCTTGAGTTTGCTTGAGCATTTGCACATAATATACTAAGGCCAAACCCATCGGTGGCCACCTAAAGTTGGCATCAATTTTCATTTAGACACTTTAACTAGACTTTGTTCATTTTAGACACCTCATGTCGTGTCCTATTGTGTCATTTTGACACTTTTTGCTGAGTTGGCATATTGCGTGCGTTTCACTGTTTTTGAGAGCGTGAAAAGTTTAAATATTGTACATTTTTACTTTTTTTTTGTTTCTTCTTCCTTCTCTCTCCTTCCAACACCTCCTCCATCATCCACCACCGTATCCAACTTCTCCCCCTAACTTTCTCACCATTCGATTGTCATAAACCTTGCTGAAATTATTCAAAAACTTCATCGAAGAAGAAAAAGACTGGATTAGGCCGTGAATCTGGAGGTTTTGATGGTGGTGCATATCTTTTTATTGCTCACATCTAGCCATAATAATCTTCTAAGATCCCTTTCCTTTTCTATCCTTCAATATGCAAAAAATCCTCTGTACTGCAATTTTACCTCTAGGAAAGCAAAAATTATCTGGTCAAACTTTAAGCCTGATAATTTTGACTATTTCGTCAAAAAGAAAAAGATGAAATCTCGTTGAAAGTAATTACTCAATGGAGAACAATTACAATAATCAATTAGGGGAGAATTTAGGTCAAAAAGGTCACTTCTTTTATGGAGGAAGTTAAGTTCTTGGTGCATCCCCAAATTCATTTATTTATGAAAGAGATAGAAGCAGAGGTGGAGATTGTTATGACCTGATGATAGTGAAAATAGATGGAGGAAGTACTTTTCATTCCGTTAATCTTCCATAATTTTATCAAATTTGAAAAGGATGTTCATGGTGGTCAGAGGAGGAGAGATGGAGATGGTGAGAAAGAAAGTGGGCACTGCAAGGTTTTTTGATTTTTTTTTAAAAATAAAATGAAACTTATTTTTTAAGTAAATAACTAATTAGTTTTAAAAATATGTTTTTATTTGTAATACATTTATTGTTAATTATTTTTGGTATATATGCCATATGTCTTCGGTTAATTCGTTGCTTTGACACCATCATCGGCGAGTGTGTTACACTCTCCTTAGTGTTTTTGCTGATTGTAAAAAGAGTGTCAAAATGACACAGTGGTCATCTACACAAGGTGTTTAAAATGAACAAAGGCTGGTTAAGGTGTCTAAATGAAAGTTTGTGACAACTTTAGGTGGCTACCGATGAGTTCCGCCTACTAATATATGTAAGACTCCTCTGTCGTAGTTTCTCATCTGTCAAAATCAATCCCCTCGCTGCCACCCATGCTCATTGATGACAGTAGCATCTACTGAATTTTGGGCAAATAATATCACATGTTATTTGTGGGAAAATTGATGACACCCTTTTTATTATTTTACTTTTCATCATCCAACTTGATTTTAAGGAAATTTCTCTCTGAAAAAAATGAGGCATCAAAACCTTTCAGCTTTTTATGACTTTTATGATCTTGATATGATTATTGTACTATCCAAAGCTTTGCGACTCTTTTGTGATGATGCTTTTCAATGTTTACATTCTTTATTGTTGTTATCATTGTTCAACATGTTGATCTTCTGTATGTTTGCATTTTTTAATTTTATTGGCCATAAGAGCTTTTAGCTATATCTTCACAAAATGTACTGTCCTCGAAAAGTTTCTAGTGTTCATAATATTGCTTCTCATTTTGCAGGCTGAGGTAACTCAAAGGCTCAGCAATGCTAAAGCAGCGGTCAGAGTTGCTGCAATGCCGAGTCATGTGGACCTTGCAAAAAAACTCCAGGTAGATATCACTTCTATGTTTCCATCATTATTTGCTTTTGTTGAGCGATTTGTTCTTTTGAGATAGGTTATCAAAACAGTAGTTTGACGACTCGTAGTACGATTGCATCAACAGTTTCCGAGGTTTTTGAGGGATAGCTATTTTTGGACAACATAATTGTAAAAATAGGATATACGATATGAGCAACAGAATCATGAGTTTGTGTGTTTACATAGCAGCTTAGAGTTGCATCTTTGGCTGATGGTCCTTTTAAAGTTATCTTTTGTGGTTGCATCTTAAGCATTTAGTGTGAATATCTCTGATTTGAATTTCATCAACAGGAGGAGTTGGACAAAAAGCGGAAGACATCAACAGGTATTAGCCATTGCCAAGATAATTTCTTGTTCAATTCAAATAACATAGTTTTGCAATGGATTGCTGTCTGGAACTGGCGTGCAAAGTTCTATCATCTATGGCGGCTGCAATTTGGTGATTTTTCTTTTCCTGAACTGAAAATATCTATTATTCTCAGGTCATACATCCCAAGGATCCAGGAGGATGAGAGAGGTTGCATGCCCAACTTGCACAGTCCATTTGCAGGTTTAGAACCCTTTTCCCTATTTGTTTTATGGTTGAAACTAGCAGATTGATTTTCGCACTACATAGTAGCTCTATTCCATTGAATGAAATTGCCTATTTTCCCTTTCAAACATTCTTTGATCTGTTAAAATTGAAGGCGGGGGCTCATGTTGTCCTGTTGTGTCTAGGTCCCTAAGAAAGTAATTCATATTTTCAAACTTGTAAAATTTACTAGTTTCAACAGTTGGCCAAAAGGAAGGGAAAGGGAACAAAGAAAGAGGAGTACTACCTAGATTAGCAGATTTTATGCCGTTGAAATGATTGGACAAGTTTTTGGGACCTAATGTATAGAGTAAAACGTGATGCCAAACCTTTTAGAACTTTTTACCAAATGAAAAAAGATTTAAGAGAATGGTGAAATATGCATTTTGATATTACATGTTCGTGGAAAATATGAAATGCAAACAGCGTTTGCTTTCTACCTATTGCTGAGACTTCTTGTAGTGTTAACCCTGCAACTTCCGCTTGGGAAGTATCTAATGCAGTTATGTTTGTAGGTTGAAGTCCCGGCTTCTGGATCAGAAACGATTGAGTGCAGTGTCTGCCAGCACCCATTCCTTGTTAGTGCTCATTGACAGGCAGGGTCGGTGTGGTTTGCTTTGCAATCATCCTATATGCAGGGATGGATTTGAAGCCACCACAATGGTCCTTCCAACTTTATATGATTGTTTTTAAGGCGTATCAACTTGTGTCTTCATTGGTGTTTTGTTAGCTCTCTCTTTCAATATTGTAAATTTATTAACAGTAGTCAGTTCTATGAGCTTTTTCTCGGTTGTGTGCATGTATAGTACACGTGCTTCATGTCGTGAAGCACTTGCAAAAGTGATTCACACATAATATGATGCGAGGTGCATGAAACTAACTTGTTCAGTTCATTGTGCAAATCAATCAATTTTCAGTATTTTGAATCCTTTACACATATATTATTTTCATTTCATATCATTGTGACACCACAGAACTCATATATTGATGAGCAAATAGGAACTAAATATAAAGCAGAATGGTTATTTGTTGATACATGTGATAGACAGATCCTCTACAGGAGAACTACGTTTATTTTCACTGGAGTTTCCCTCTGTTCCAGCACAGTTTTATTTGTTCTCTTATCCATTTCTTCCTAGTTTGCCTCGTAAAAAATAATATTTTTTTTCTGATTATATAAAGAAATTAATATAATATTTATAGGTTGAAAGATACAATAGGTGTAGGAAGTGCAAAAAAGCTTAAATTAATTTGTGTTCCCTCTTCAACGCCCCAAATGGAATGCAAATATCATTGCATAGTATACATGCCAACTCTCCTTGTTGGATATTAAAGATTGTGTTATAAGGTATTTCTAGAGCAACTATGAAGATCTTGATATTAAAGTTTTGTAAAAAGTATCAGCTTCATTCTCACAATCAACTGCACTAAAACATTGCATATATTCTTTTCATTTAACTGCTACAGATAAAAGCAACAATCACTGCCACTCCAAAACCCAATACAAGGAAACTATATAGGACTATACACGACCAATATCAATGTATTATTCGCATCACAATCTTCAAACACCACAACTTCCACGAATGCCTTGATAATGTTACAGAACTCCATCATGGCTGTAGTACTACCAAGATTCCTACTATACACATTAGGAGATGAGAAACTAAAACAGAAGCTAACGAAGTTTATTCTGAGAAACAGCCTGGCATAATTCATCCTCGTAAAATAGGACTCTATTAGAACCCAAGGGCTTACAAAGGGGTTTTGGTATAACAGATGGCACCAAATGCCTTGAAGGAAATGCAGATTCCTGGAAAAGAACAGCTGCAATTTGCTCCATCTCTATAAACTTGAGGCGAGATGGGGGCTTGGGACCATGCTTAGGAGCCTGAGGAGTAACAGGGCTGTGAACCCATGCACCTTTCCCATCCCCTTTGCTGCAAAGTGACAGCTATATTTAAATTTAACGCATATAAATCAGTTAGCCAGCTAAAGGATGGTTGGAAGATCATAGTATTACCTTGCAAAAGGACAGTGATCAGTGGGGAGAGGAGTCATGGTTCCTAACATATCTTGTCGCCTTCTATCTGGAGTCGTATAATTGAAATGGAATTGTCTTGCCAAAGTTACCTGTCCCGTTTGCACCAGCAATTAGACATCACATCTTCTTATGTGGCTAAAAGGACAAAAATGGAGAGAGAGAGAGAGAGAATGACTCACTGCCTTCCTGGTCTTCTGAGAGACATGGAAAACTGCTTTAAGTTGGTCATGTTGCAGGTGGCAAAGTATGTTAACCTTAAGTAGAATATATAAAAAACTATTAGCTAATCAGCTCAGACAATAAACTGCAGGAATTGGATTCTGTCCTCAGTGACATACGAGTTAGTTTAATTATTCTTCTCAAATGTCAAATATCATACTATCTCCATTTCAGAAAACACAAACGAACAATAAGTAACACACCTACTGTCATTTTACACAATACTCATTTGCCAAACCGCTATTTCAGCTTATCTGCTCATCCTTTCAGCCTATTTTTCTTATAATTTTTTGCTTTCATTTTTTCAAGAATTCAAGTTCTCTACAACATTAATAGTTGATTAAGTAGCCAGTTACCTGGTAATGCTGATGAGGAAGCTAGGTGGAGAGAGTGAGGAAAAGAAACCAAAAGATCTACATGGAGAGGCAGTAGCACACAAATAGCTTCAAACTGTGAAGAACTGATGAATTAAGCATGCTAATACAGGAATTCAAAACAGATACGTAACTGATGTGTTGTAATGGAATGAGACAGCTAGGAGCTTCCATTCATGCAGATGTTTAGATCAAATGAATCAGATCAGAATAGAACCATCTTCAGTTTACTAATGTCAACAAGCAACTGAAAAGTTGACAAAAGTACTGAGATTTAATGTGAAAAACAACATATTTATTCGAACTAAGGATTATATAATTGACAAGAATTTCCTTGCACTAATGAGTAATTTCTTGATTGGCATGAAACAAAAGATTATGGAAGGTTGAGAAAATCAGTAGGGAAGGAAAAGATATGCTGGAGAAAGCATACAAATTAGGGCACAATCAGTGGGTCAGAATCTATGCATGCAAGGGGAAGAGATCACTTTAAAGATTTGCAATCAAGGAGATTTCTTAGGACTAATGTCTCATTTGTCAGAATTGAGGTTTCTGCAAAAGGGCAAGGAAACGTCTGAAATATAGCTCTAATCCCAGAAACACGTGTTCCTTGAATCACACTCTATAAATAATTGCAGATGAACAGTCACTGAGATTCAAAGTTCAAGAAAAAAAAGACAGGTTCCTAAAGAACATACAAAAAAAAGGAAAATCATTCTCTGTACAAGAAAAGAGACAGCGACCTCCTTTCATTGTAGATCGTGAGTTGAAAAAAATGAGTTATGTGGGATCTCATTGTTGGTGTGAAAACCCAACATGCAATTTTGTTGTTGATACTTGATCAACAAGTGCAACCTCCAAAAGTCGGTGGTGGGTTGTTTGAAAATCACTAGAAATTGTACGAAACTCATGAGCAAAGGAACTCAAGTATAACTCCCTTGTATCTCAACTCTCAAGAACTGGATAATGGCTTGTCGAACCACTATAAAATATCACATGTCAATTTTACTTTTTGCATTTTGTAGCTTACTGTTAAACATGCTCAACCCCATATACACTAATGTTCAAATTGATTCAACGTTAACACTTCAAATTGGCTAATAATTTTAGAAGTAGCACATTCAACCTCCTATTGCGTTTCCAAAGATTGCCAACAGTTTTTCTTATTCTCTACCTATAGTGAAAGAAGACTTATTAACATCTACATTTAGAGAATGCAAGCCAAGTAAATTGATGTACACAAGGATATAATGAACAAAGTTTGAACTAGATGATTAGGTTGGAGAAAAAAGAAGAGCACATTCAATACCAATAAATCCAATGGTAGTGACTCAAGCCTTGACTCCAACATGCCTTCTACAGCTCCGGGTGTCTTTGGAGTCATTAGCAAATAATTCTGCTTGGCTAAATCCATGTGTGAAGCCACTTCCCCCAAATGAGATCTCACGGGAGATAGAAATATGGGACTCTCATCATTAACATCATTTAGAAACAGATCTTCCTTATTAGCATCATCTGTATCCGTTACGACCACTCTTCTCTTCCAAAGATCAGCACAACATTTAGCAGCAGAAACCTTGGTATTCCGAAGTTGTGCAAGAGCACCTGGTCTCAGATACTTGCTCTTTGTACTCTTCGACCACCTTTTCTGTTTCAGAGTGTTGGATTGCCCATCTTTAGGAGATACTTTCCCCATAATACTATTTCTGTTTTCTCACTTGGCAGGAAATTAGGTTTAGGGATCACCTTTACCCTCAAGGTTCACTAACTCCCAAACTAATGTATCCAATTTAAGATTAAATTTGACCCAGATTTCATTCCATATTAACCTGAAAAAGTGAAAAGGATAAAAGGAAATAACTTATCAAAACAGGAAAACATTCCAACTTCCAGAGCAATTTGTATACAAAAATATAGCCACAAGAAATAATTTTACAATGCTTCACTATCCTTGAAATTTGAATAGTTTAAAATGTTTTCTACAAGGAAAATACAGTCCATTATTAATAAAAGGGTAAACTGACTTCAATTATATATTGTACGAAGTCATTTCTCTTTAAAAATACCTCAAACTATCCATATTAGGAGTGCATTGTCTTGTTGTCCGTCCATACTAGTAGTTGTAGTATTACACGTGTAGTTTCTTGTACTTCGAATTTTTGTTACAATCTGATTTTTCTTGTACTTCAACTATAGGATCATTTTATCATAGTATTGTACTGCTACAATCTGTTGTTCATATTACTATTGGTTGTTTCTTATACTTTCATTACTTCTTTTTCTGGACTGTTTTTTCCTTAAGCTGAGGGTCTATCGGAAACAACCTAACTAACTCTGAGGTATGGTAAGGTATGCGTACACTCTATCCTTCCCATACCCACTTTATAGGACTACGCCGGGTATGTTGTTGTATTCAGACATTAAGAGTATCACCAAGAGCTATTTTTATACCATATCACACCTCGTACAACAACCATATGTTGCCTTTTTTCATAACAAGCCATACATGAAACTGATAGAGAAAATGATTTCACAAAGTACCAAATGCAACCTAAATTCACATGAAGCCACAAATTATGAAACTACAAGAAATTTGATGCTTTTCAAATAACTCGCTGATGAATTCTTACAAAGGCTAGGCACGAATTCCTCAATAATTAACTTGATACGACTTAACTACATATAAACAGTCAAAATTAACAGCTAAACCCCAAAAATTCAAGTACAATAAATTCAGAAACACACATACACAAAACCAAACAAAACAACAATGAAGAGTAAGAAATTACGAACCTGAAGAGAGAGAAGCATAAACCCTAGCAAATGGAGAAGGAACCACTGATGGATTGGAGGGAAAGATTTTTTGGGCGGGGGTGACCTAGGGATTGGCTAAAAGACTGCTTATTTGAATTTGTTTGTTGTGAAAGACCCGCCAAAAGCTTTTGTGGGTGGGATCCACTTGGGCCGGGTATTTCGTCAGTTACTCCACGTGTTGTCTTGCTATTGGAAGTGTTTTCTGGGCTCAATTTAGAATCCTATGTTGGGGCTTCTCCGCTTATGGCGGAGTTCAGTTGACTTCTTAAGATTTTGTGTACTTTTCATATATCTGATCAGTTGCCAATGGAATAAAAGAAAATGATTTTTTTTTTAAATATAGAAAAAGAAAAAAAATATAAAATTATAAACAAGTTTGTAAAGGGCTATGATTATAATCTCAGAATAAAATGTATGTTTATTATATTTTGCATTGGTTAGTGATAATTTTCCCTAGTAGTTAACCCTAAAATTATTTATCCACCATTTATATTACAATTGTAGAAACTTTCACATATAGCAAACATAAAAATTATATTTGTATGTTATAGCTATAGTTTGCATAATTGCGCTTTATAGCAAATTTTATGTTTGCTATAGAGTTTGAATTCGCTAGATACATTCAATTTTATACAAATTGTTCAGTTTTGTATAAATTCATTTATACATTGTAATTTGTATAATAAGATCTGTATTTGTATAATATTAAGTGTATAAAATGAAAATATATGTATTTGTATTTGTATATACACTTTTCTCTCGCTTTATACAAACACAAACGCATTTTATACATTTTATATCGAAATATATAAAATGGCTAATTGTATATCGAATCCGATGGCAAAAAATGGGATGTTGCTGCAAATTACAATTAAAATAAACTATGGCTATAAAATTTAATTTGAATTAATAGTTTGTTATTTCATACAATTTTCCCAACAACTTTCACATATAGCAAACGTAAAAATCATATTTGTATGTTATAGCTATAGTTTGCATAATTGCATTTGCAATGGAGCTTTGATTTGTATAATTCACTACAAACATTCAATTTTATATAAATTGTTTAGTTTTGTATAAATTCATTTATACATTGTAATTTGTATAATAAGATTTGTATTTGTATAACTATAAGTGTATAGGACAAAAATATATGTATTTGTATTTGTATATACATTTTTCTCTTGCTTTATACAAACACAAACACAAACACAAACACATTTTATATCGAACTATATAAAATGATTAATTGTATACCGAAAATGGCTAATTGTATACCGAATCAAATGACAAAAAAAGGAATGTTTTGCTGCGAACTACAATTAAAATAAACTATGACTATAACATTTAATTTGAATTAATAATTTGCTATTTTATACAATTTTATTTTAATGGGATAACTAATCTTGTGAAATATTCAATTCGTGAGATAATTTTGTGTATCTCATCCTCCATACCAAATGATCCCTAGAGGAAGCTGACCAACTCCATCTGGAAAAAAGCCAATTTTTGCTCTATAGGCCCAATAGAGGCCCATAAACATTCGAAGATCCAGAAATAAAGAGTCAATTCTTCCTAATATTTGTTTAAGTCGGTATAACTAAATGGGCTCAGAATCCGTTATTAGAGCTTTGTGGTTTCTCTTGAGGGAGAAGGGACAAAACGTTAGACTGTCCTTACAGTATCCATTTTAAGTTGAACAACTTTACGTATAGCAAACATAAAAATCATATTTGTATGTTATAGCTATAGTTTGCATAATTGCACTCCATAACAAATTTTATGTTTGCTATGGAGCTTTTGATTTGTATAATTAGCTACAAACATTCAATTTTATACAAATTGTTCAATTTTGTATAAATTCATTTATACATTGTAATTTGTATAATAATATATGTATTTGTATAATTATAAGTGTATATAATGAAAATATATGTATTTGTATTTGTATATACACTTTTCTCTCGGTTTATACAAACACAAACGCATTTTATACCGAAATGTATAAAATGGCTAATTGTATATCAAATCAGATGGCAAAAAAAGTGGATGTTTGCTGCAAATTACAATTAAAATAAACTATGGCTATAGCATTTAATTTAAATTAATAGTTTGCTATTTCATACAATTTTCCCTGAGTTTGCTATTTAAATTTTACTTTTAAAAGTTGTGCGAAATAGTCCTTGGAATTGATAAAACATTAATTAGATTGTTATCTACGACTACAAAATTTTAAAACATGATCTAGTGTTACTTATAAGATTTTCAGTTTGCTCAAAAGAATCTTTAGTCGATAATCTAAAAGGTCATAAGTTGCAAGAATAATTTTTTTAAAAAAGTCATTTACTAAACAACTATTCCAATAGGCACAACCAACAAAACTTTTGTGATTTTAATCCTCTTAGACCAACTTCTTTACCATATATTATCTTGTTCAATTATTTTACAAAAAGTATGTAGGCTCAGTATAAATTATCGTGGATACTACTTCAAAAAGTTGTTAACTACCCTAATTAAAAGGTTGTGTTAAATAAGGCAATTAGTGACAATTGGAGCACTAAGGGTCCATTTGTGTACCATGTTTGATATGATTTGTTCTAGTACAATCACGCCAAAAGAAAGTGAATTATTTATTTTACCAAACAAAGCCAACATTCATTGCTTCATACTTGATGGAATCAGTGCCAAAATTAGCGGAATGATATATAGCCTTTTAGAAAGAGCATCTTTCTAAGCTATCTTTTGAGTTAGGTTAAACTCAAAATCTATTTTCTTTATCAAAAGTCAAATATAATTTAATTATTGTTTACCTATTACATCCATGTCTTAGATTGTACACACTTTTGATGTCTACGATTCAAATGAAAATCTATAGGCGTGTGGAGGGAGTATTGAATCTCACACCAGTGACATAGATTAATTTCTTGATCTTTTTACCAGTTGATAAAATTTATTACAAAACAAAACCGAGTTTGAACTACATCTTCACAATTCTATGTGAATTGGAAAGTACTTATAATGAAAAGATACAATTTGGAATCATTTTTTTATGAACATATACATCGAATTAATCTTCTTTGATTTTTTTTTTTAAAATCGATAAATCACAAGACACAAATAAGTATAGGCGGCTAAATATTTTTATTTAATACTATGGTGAAAGTTAGAATAAGACAATGATTGTTGAGCTGCAAACAGAATATGTATATATAAAGGCGTGCAACTTTGGTTACGTTAATTCCACCATATAAATGAGTAATGACATTTGTGGAATCGCACCCGTGATACTCCACTACCAAAAAAGTTCCCTTTCTTAAGTCTTTTAAAATTAGAGAAAAAGTTTAAAAGTACTTGGAGTATAAAATTGCCTGCACAAAAAGCCATCCTTTCGTAGGTTTAAAATTTTAAACATATATGGGCACTATGATATAACTTTTCAGACTGTATTCCCAATATAAAAGTTTAAAAAACATAAAATAATTTGGCTAATCAATCCTTGTGTTTTGTTGTTCATTTTGTTTGTTTGCTCGAGAATATATAGAACAATGGGTTGTATGTCTGAGAATTTTCCTTTTTTGTGTATTTCATTTATTATTCCTTGACACATAAAACAAATAAATAAGTAAAGTTATATATTGAAATATATATCATATAGTGCTTTAGCAATTGTTGACAAAGACTATCTTACTGAATTGCTGAATTGTCGCACGATAGATTTGCAGATAAGCTACCTGGCTTTGGTTACAAGTCCCATTTAAAGCATCCAGAAGAAAATGACTGATTGTTGAGCGAAGGGCTCATTTGGTTGGGAACAAGTTATTTCAGGATTAATTATCCTGAGAATAGTTATTCTGGTATAACTTATCTCATCACTATGGTATAAATGGTGGGATAAGTTATCTCAAACATGTCAACCAAACAAGACACTAAAATTTAATCCAAGGACTAATTTTTTTATCCCAGGACTATTTATTCCCATCCTTCACACCAAACGAATTGGATTGACCTTTTGCTTTTGTATTTAAAATTAAAGTTAGGATATCTAGCTTATGTGTTGATTTATATTTATTATTTTGACTTAAAAACAAGTACTTCAAAATATTTTTTTAATTTTATCACAATACTATAAGAATGCTTAAAAGTTATTTAAGCTAAAAAATACTTAAAATAAGGCAATTCAAACGGACTCTAAGGATGGTGCCCGCTAGTAATGATACTTATTCACATGATATAAAACCTATTAAAGAGGGAAGGGATTTCTATTGATTTTTTTTTTTCATTACGAATGTTTACATCCGAAATGTTTAGTGAAATATATTTCATCTATTTCTTCATTTCCACTCTACCTAAAGCAAGGAATCATGTTGCATCCGTCGAAGCGTCAATTACCTCTAGCGTTGGGAAATGACATATATTCCTCAAACACCTAACATTCTGCAACGGTAAACAATCATCATTAATTAATTAGTAACTAAGTTGTACAAGTATTCAATTAGCTAATGACAAATTTTTATTTTAAAGTAATTCCTTAATTTCCCATAAAATCATGTAGAATGAGTTTATCGTAATTTTAATATGGTGGTAGGATACTAGGATTCCAAATTAAATAACATGATCAAAGTCTAGAATACTTAAAAATTTATGCTAAGTTCTTAACAATTGTGGCGTTGGACAAACTGGACCACCTATATACTTCACTTACTTCACATTATACACTGGATTACAATATTTTAGGCACTATATACAAGTCTACAATAATATTATAGACTTATCTATCATGGATTAATCAATTCCTTCTCAAAATGTATAACTTCCGTCGACAGTGCTATTCCCCTTAGTAATTACTATAAATCTTCAAAACTCTCAATACCTACGTACATCGAAGCTAATTACTATCTACCAACAAATGGTGGAGTGGTAACTGGGTGGTCTCGACTTCGAATCTCTCGGAATAAGAAGTAGTTTTTATTAAGGAGCGTTTTACTTTTACCTCTCGAGCAATATTACTAATAATCTAGATATCGAATCTCTCGATATGATGCATGGCTTGAGTCTTCCATGATTATGTCGGGTATCCTCTCACGTCTTTTTAACTAAGGAGTAATTTTTATTTTTTTTTACCAAACACGTTCTTCTATAATTATGCCGGATATCCGAATTATTAGTTTTTACATATATATATAGATTGATAATAATGAGAATGTTCTCATTATGAAGAATTAATGTAGTGAATGATGAGATCTCATAACAAGTAATCGATAGAAAGTATATATTATATATTA